TCTTGTATTGCTCTAACCTTCTCTTCGTCTACACGTAACCCCTGCGAACTTACAACAAAGCCTAGGAAAACAATCTGATTAGTGCAAAAGGAGCACTTCTTGAGATTCGCATAAAGACTTTCTTTTCGGAGGGTCTCTAATACTTGCTCAAGATGTACTGTGTGATCATCAAAACTCTTGCTGTAAATAAGAATATCATCAAAGTATACGACAACAAATTTACCGATGTAGGCTCGTAGAACATGGTTCATGAGCCGCATGAAGGTGCTAGGTGCGTTGGTAAGACCGAATGGCATGACAAGCCACTCATAGAGTCCTTGTTTTGTCTTAAATGCCGTCTTCCATTCATCACCTTCCCGCATTCGCACTTGATGGTATCCGCTCTTGAGATCAACCTTAGAGAAAATGGTTGCTCCACTTAATTCATCAAGCATGTCATCAAGGCGTGGAATTGGATGTCTGTACTTGATGGTGATGTTGTTTATTGCACGACAGTCCACGCACATTCTCCATGTTCCGTCCTTCTTGGGTACCAACAAGACCGGCACGGCACAAGGACTAAGGCTTTCACGGATATAGCCTTTCTCCAAGAGTTCTTGAACTTGTCTTTGAAGCTCCTTAGTTTCCTCCGGGTTCATCCGGTAGGCGGGTCTGTTTGGTAAAGGTGCCCCAGGAATAAAATCAATTTGATGCTCAATGCCCCTGATTGGAGGCAAACCGGTGGGTGCTTCTTCGGGGAAGAGGTCCTTGAAGCGCTCCAGAAGTTGTGTGATCCTTGCTGGAAGTTCTTGTGCACCTATCTCTGAAATAATCATACACTTGAAGACCATTAGTAACACCGGGCTTTGATTGCTCAAAGCCTTGCAAACCTCATTAGCCTTAAGATAAAAATTAGACTTCTTATCAGTTTCGCTTTCTCTAGACAGCCTAAGTTGCATTTCATGTACTTGTGATGGACTAAGAGGTGCTAACGAGATTTTACGCTTGTTAAAGATAAGAGAATAATGGTTTGTCCTATCATCATGCTTTACCTCTCGATCAAACTGCCAAGGTCGACCCAACAGCATGTGTCCGGCTTGCATTGGCACAACATCGCATAAAACTTCATCTTGGTACTTACCAATGCTGAATAGAACCTTAACCTGTTCGGTTACCTTAAGCTCTCCTTGGTTGTTCAACCATTGTAGCTTGTAAGGATGCGGGTGCTTTGATGTCTCAAGACCTAGCTTTTTAACCATATAGGTGCTAGCAACGTTAGTACAAGAACCACTGTCAATAATAAGACCACATACCTTTCCTTTCACCGTACACTTGGTGTGGAAGATCGTTTCTCGTTGAGCAGTTTCGTTGAGATCTACAATGGTGCTAAGAACACGCCTTGTGACTAGCAATTCTCCACTATCCGGGTATTCTATCTCCTCTTCAAGGTCTGCAACATCAGCCTCGTCCATTGATTCATAATCCCCGCTGTCCGTGATAATCATTACACGTTGATTTGGACAATCACGTGCCATATGTCCTCGACCCTTGCACTTAAAACATGTTAACGAGAACGGACGTTAGAAATTGAATTCTGTTTGTTACCATCATTTCTGGATTCCTTTGAAGTCTCTGTTGTTTTGCCTTTAAAGCGTACATCACGCTCCTCGTTCTTTCCCTTGTCATTTGGCTTTGAAATATTCGGATTCCACATGGTCGGTGTGCGTTGTCGGCTATTGCTTGCTTGCTTCCTCTTTATTTGCCGTTCTATTTGGACAGAAAGATGCAAAAGATCATGTAAATCATGGTAAACTTGCCTTTCTACCTTTCTAGCAACTCGGTCTTGAAGTCCGTCCAAGAATTGAGCCATGACGGTTTCATCATCCTCTTCTATTTCCAGTCGGCTCCTTAGATGTTCAAACTCCTCAAAGTAATCTTCAACCGATCTTCCTTTGTTAGCTTGTCGGGTGTATTGCTCCGTTCGTCTTGCTATGTTGTCTCGGACCTTTTGGTGCAGCTTCCTCATTGCTTCTGCCTTCTTTTCCCCATCTACGCTCACCATCTCACGATGAGGAAGAGGTGTGAGGTCAAGTGGCGTGATTGGGTTGAATCCATAGACCACTTCGAATGGTGAGTGCTTTGTAGCCGAATGTGCAGCTCGGTTGTAGGCGAATTCAACATGTGGCAAGCAATCCAACCAATTCTTCAGATTCTTCCCAATTGTAGCTCTTAGAAGAGTCGCTAAGGTCCGGTTTACTACTTCGGTCTGCCCATCAGTTTGCGGATGACATGTAGTGGAGAATAAGAGGCTGTCCACTGCAGACCGTCCGTTCTGCTTGGTTTCGGCGTGGAACGTCCGTTCCGGCTTCTGTAGTCGAGACAGTCCATTCTGCCAAGCCTGGAACGTCCGTTCTGCATCCAGAACGGATGGTCCGAGGTACAGATTCCAGAATTTTTCGTTTTCTAGGTCCGATTACGCATTCGTTGCTTAATCTGACCAACTGTAACTCAAATAGACATGATTCATTCTTTTGGATGGTCCATAGTGAATGAATGCATGTAACTTAATCAAGATATATGATATGCTTGATTGAGTGGGAGCTCCGGGATTGGAATGCATAGTCGAATGGATTGTCTATTCGGATTATGTTAATCGTTGCACAGAAACCGGTTAGATCTAGTAGCTCTACAAGTAAAAACATTTGTCAAGGCCTAGATCATACGTGTCATGGGCCATGCCAAAGCTGGGTGTGCCGTGCTATCTTGGTGAGGCAAGATGGAGAAATGGTGGTTCTCATAGCTTGAAAGGACTATGCATTCCAATCCCGGAGCTCCCACTCAATCAAGCATATCATATATCTTGATTAAGTTACATGCATTCATTCACTATGGACCATCCAAAAGATCCTATGATGTTGGAGACGAATTGATTTGTCTTTGTGCGAAAACTCCTTGCCCTTGATCTTGTAAGCGGTGGTTCCGGCATCATTGGCATTGTCACGTCTTCGGTTGCCTCTTCTTCATTAGTTTCCTCCTTGGCAGCATCCTCATCCTCTTTAGGATCGATGTCCTCATCATCCCCTCCCCCTTGAGAAGGTTTTGTCCCCAAAACAGATTCACCTACATCAAAAGGAGACAAGTCAGTGATATTAAATGTAGAAGATACGTTATACTCACCGGGAAGCTCCAAGCGGTAGGCGTTGTCGTTGATCTTCTCAAGGATGCGAAATGGGCCATCTCCTCGTGGTGCCAGCTTCGAACTCCGCTTGTTCGGGAACCTTTCTTGTCTCAAGTGTAGCCACACCCAATCTCCTTCTTTGAATGTGATGTTCTTGCATCCTTTGTTAGCTTGTCGGGTGTATTGCTCCGTTCGTCTTGCTATGTTGTCTCGGACCTTTTGGTGCAGCTTCCTCATTGCTTCTGCCTTCTTTTCCCCATCTACGCTCACCATCTCACGATGAGGAAGAGGTGTGAGGTCAAGTGGCGTGATTGGGTTGAATCCATAGACCACTTCGAATGGTGAGTGCTTTGTAGCCGAATGTGCAGCTCGGTTGTAGGCGAATTCAACATGTGGCAAGCAATCCAACCAATTCTTCAGATTCTTCCCAATTGTAGCTCTTAGAAGAGTCGCTAAGGTCCGGTTTACTACTTCGGTCTGCCCATCAGTTTGCGGATGACATGTAGTGGAGAATAAGAGGCTGGTCCCTAGCTTTCTCCAAAGTGTTTTCCAGAAGTAGCTCACGAACTTAGTATCTCGATCCGATACGATGGTTCTAGGCAGGCCATGTAGACGCACAACTTCCTTGAAGAATAAATCAGCAATGTATGAAGCATCATTGGCCTTTGAGCATGGTATGAAGTGAGCCATCTTTGAGAACCTGTCAACAACAACAAAGATGGAGTCTTTGTTTCGGATCTTTGGAAGTCCGAGAACAAAGTCCATAGACAAATCAGTCCAAGGGTGTGTAGGAATAGGTAGAGGAAGATACAAACCGTGAGGATGTGAACGAGACTTGGCTTTATGACACGTGATACATCGTGCACAAAACCGTTCGACGTCTCGCTTGAGATGAGGCCAGAAGAAATGCTCCTTGATGATGGCTAGCGTCTTGTCTACACCAAAATGCCCCATAAGAGCTCCACCGTGTGCTTCTTGGAGTATTAAATCTCGCATTGAGCTTTGAGGGATGCACAATCTCTTTTCGCGAAAGAGATATCTGCCATGTATGTAGAAAGGACCATAAGCTCCTTTCCCGCACTCCTTGTAAATATCCCCAAGCTCCGCATCTCCTTGGTACAGCTCCTTGATGAATTCGAATCCCATTATTTTAGCCTCCATAGTAGTGATCAATGTGTGTCTCCGAGAAAGAGCATCGGCCACAATGTTGTCTTTGCCCTTCTTGTACTTGATGATGTATGGGAAGGTCTCTATAAACTCCAACCATTTGGCATGCCTCCTCTTGAGTGTAGTCTGACCCTTAAGATGCTTGAGCGTTTCATGATCCGTGTGAATGATGAATTCCTTAGCCAACAAGTAATGTTGCCAAGTTTCTAGGGATCGAACCAAGGCATACAGCTCCTTGTCATATGTCGGATAGTTGAGTGTAGCGCCACTCAACTTCTCGCTAAAATACGCCACGGGCCGCTTCTCCTGCAATGGTTATCTAGTTAATGATTTATACTTCTTGAATGATCAGTCTTCGAACTCAACTTCATCCATCTATAACGTGAGTATTAAACGATTTAAGCCGAACGACTTAAACCCGACCTTCCTCTGGCATTGTCGTCTAGGCCATATAAACGAGAAATGCATTCAGAAGCTTCTAAGTGGGTGGTCATGGCGTCTTGCTAGAGGCTAACTATGACTTGTGATTCGGGAAAAGGTTCCGAAGTCACTACCACTTGGAATGGGCCTATAAGGTCACACACCACTAGGGATGGACTTATACGTGAAGAATTCGAAGAATGAAAACGAGATTTGACCGAAACGAGCATGAAAAGAAGTTTTCAGTGTGTTGGTCCGGAGCTGACACAGTTTGGTCAGCCCCAGACCAAGTCGGTCAGCCCAGGAGGTCCGGAAGTTCGGTCCGAGTTCATCTGTCCAGGTCTGGTCCGGCTGACCAAAAGTTGGTCAGCCCCGGACCAGACACTGGGTCAGACGGACCGAGACTGAAGCCAGGCAGACCGGAAAGACGAAGAAGGAACTTGGTCCGGAGCTGACCAAAACTTGGTCAGCCGGACCAAGCCTTCAAGTCAGTCGGTCCGAAGGCTCGGACTAAGTTTGGTCCGCGGGACCAAGCTCCTGGTCCGACGGACCGGGATCTGGGAAACTTTCCAAAATTCGATTTTAGGGTTTTCTAAGCTTATTTAAGTTTGGGATTTCGTCCAAACTTAATTAAGGCCGCTCTAAAACTCAGAGAAACATCCTAGAACCCTAGAGAACCTGTTCTCTTCGATTTCTATTGTCCCGAGATTAGATCCCGTCTCTTGAGATTGTTGGTTTAGTGTTCTATGATGTACTGTTTATGAGCTTTGTTCAGATACATTCGATGTATTGATATTTTCTATGGTTTATATGAGAGTATTTGATTCATTACATGTTCTTGCATACTAGATCTGTTATGAAATCCGTGTATCATTATGAATGATACTAAACTCCCTAGTCTTGTGTCGTTATGGGAATAACGACATAATAAGACTAGTATTATGTGTGATTGATGATCATAACGTTGATCATAGGTATTGGATACAATCACAGTCATAGGTATTCGTTGGAGAACTGAATACTGGATTGACCCGCATGAGATTGTCACATGGACTAGAGTCATGACTTGAATCTCATATGACGGTTCCATGATTGGATCCTAAGACCTGAGATATCTACGGAATCCAACATGAGGAGTTGCGTGCTTTGAATACGTAAAACGTTCTGCGTAACAGGAGAACTATAAAGGCGTGTATCAGGTACGAAACGAATCATGTACTGGATTATAGATAGTCAAGACGGGATTTGTACCTCTCATAAAAAAGAGAGATATCGTTGGGCCCCTCGTATGAGCGAGATTGTAGAAATGTGTGGCCGCACTATAGACGAACGTCGTCTATTTCAGACAGTCGAACTCAGTGAACGAGAAAGCAGTCGAATCAGTGGCTTCGAAAATCCCTTATTTATGTAATGCTAAGCGTGTACCTCTCATCACTAGAGCGCCTGTCAATGCATCGATCATCCATAACACGGGTCATGCTAAAGGTGAGCGTGCCAGATTATCTTTGTGAGGCAGGGTGGAAAATCGTGGTTCCCACAGCTTGAATATGGTTAATCTTAGGTTAGGTTGTTGAGTTTGACTCGAGACTTAATGATACAGATGAGACAAGTATGCAATGATATTTGATATCATAGTCTCATAAAGGATCTAAGAGTCATATTGGATATGATTGACATTAGATGTCTACCTAAATAGCATAAGACTGGGTGTAACAATTCATTCTAATGTGAAATACGGATCTTAGTCCCATATAGAAAATTATTGTAGGGTTTGTTTTCT